TCCAATGAAATAAATTTGGAAAGAGAACACAAAGAGTGGATGCACCTTCGCCATTGCAAACGATTTTGAGTCATGTCATTCAAGGTCTCTAACCATCGGTTGTTATCATCTCGCGAATCTCAACCAGGTAGTCTACACCTACCAACGTAGCTCAGTCCAATTGTCAGTGACTTCATGGATTTGTGCCATGTTTTGGTCTGGCAACCCATAGCTTTCTTTCAACTTACTCCTACACCATAAAACATTGCACATTAGGGCAGCGAGTGGTTGGGTATACATGACACGTGTCCCAGCCATCTGATACCACTGAATTATCTTCATTAAACGACCGTTGATCGATAGAAATCACTGGATAGCTAGCTGTTTCTTCATCAATGAAAGTCCAAGGCCCCATTGAGGATGAGATCTTAAGTCGTTAGACATAGCGACCACCTAACCTCCTGATTACTAATTTGCCATCTAATGACTTGACATTGTTAACTGCTGTCAATTCATGATATTCCGTGACTATCCTCCATTGTTATCCGTAGTATTTGCCTCCCCCCGACTTCGCTAAAACTTTACTGATCATGACTTTCCACTAGAATCCATATAATTATCTCTCAAAGTTAGGCAGTAGTAAGCACATGGTGTGTGTAACTATAAGGTATCGTGAAGATTGTTGAGTTGGATTTATGCCTTTGACACTAACCTACTTAAACTTCAAATATATATATATATATAACCAGTCGTTTTCGATGGGTCGAAATGAATTTTGTAGTCAAATTGTCAACTTTTACCCTAGATTACATCAGTTGCATACATAGTTGGCTGTGAACAACTATGGATAAGTGTGACAATGGAATTTATTCATAAACTATAATTTGTTGCCTAAAACATATCAACAGTTATGCTGTTGTTTTCGTATCACATTGTGCTTTGTTTTTGCGAAAAAAATAGTTTTTCTATGTACAGTATCGGATTTTGTTTACAACTTTGATCTAAACACTTTTCAATGTGTTATGCCATCTATGTATCGTATCTTTTGATAAACTATATTTTCTCACTAGCCATAGAAGATGGATGGATTGTGGTTTGAGGTGGATACGTGTTTTGTCCTATTTGAGTGAGACTCACTAACTGGGTGTGCATACATATCAATGTTGATTTTCACACTGAGACTCGGACTGGATACTGGTTTTTTTTTAATCAAACGCCATCACGTTATCTATTGATCTGCTGAGTCCAGTTAAAGAGTTCAAGTTAGGACAAAACTCGCATGCTAAACTCCACTACTAACTACAATCCATCTACTTTCTATATATATTTGTGATATAATGGTTCTGTTAAGACAATCCGAATAGATTGCATATATTTTAATTAAGACTAATAAAATTTCAGTAAATAGTTTTATTATTTATTTAAACACATAAATATTGGTACAAAGGGGCACCAGATATATATGCGCTGCACAAATCTCATTTGATTTGTGTGAGGGTTGTGATACTGCCCAGGTACTCAAACTGAAGCAGGTGGCTTTCTTAGAGGGCCACACCCGGAGCCTTTGATCTAAACGTCTGATCCACAAAGCAGTGGAGCATCGTAAGAAGATGCAGTCCCATGGTAGCCGGTGACCAATAGTTGGTCCATACGCCATTTGTTCCCTCAGGATGTGCACCATTGGTTTGGAATGAGGGCTTTCCAACTTCCCTATGTGGACATTCCGTGTTCACCAACCCGGTCAAAGCGCCGGACATTCACTTTTCGTCCTCCGGATTTCGTAAACAACACCTCCACAGGAAGGCACTAAGTAGGAATTCACTGATAGAGGCTTTATACGCTTTTTTCATGTGAGAGCATTTGGAGAGGGAGAGTGGACTCTCCCCACTCTTCACCGTACTAAAGCATTAGGGGGTCTAAACCTTTACTAATAATGATATATACATAAATTTTCACTGTTCATGTTCTCTCTTTGATTTTTCATCAGTTTACTTCATTTTTATTTATTTACATGTTTTTTCAAAAAAGTTACATTCCATTTTCATAAGTTTGTTTTTTTGCCAAAATGTTTTCACAAAAAACAAAAATTGCACACAATTAAAACAGTTTAAATCATATGCTTATATTAATATCTTTGTATTTACTTCAGTACTCTTCTCTCTTTCCACTGCCCCCCTTTCGTTTTCTACTACTCAAGTCAATCATTTTAATAATCATTTAAGTGGTTACTAATTGGATACATTAAAAATATGTTTACCCTTATAGCAACTAATTTTATATACTATAATTAGTTAGTTAATTATGATTTAAATTTGTTATACGTTTTTTAATTGAAAACATTACAAATATATATTGTGTGCTTCAATGTAGATTTTGTCTCTTATTCAAACAATAATCTGTAAAACTATGAGTAATGATTGATTCTATGATATTTAGAATTGCCAGTTTAAAGATGCTATCATCATTTCTGTAGTCAATGAAAGGTGGAAGACATTTGTAGGTTAATGGTTTTTTATTTCTTAGTTGTAAGTGTCTTTAAAGCATTGATTACATTTTTTGAAGTGATCGAGAAGTAAGTAGTAATGTTAAGGTAATTGACAAAGATGGTGAAGTAGTGAATCTTCACCGACGTGTATTACGTATTTCTAACCACTGTGTACTTTGAGCGATACTTGCTAGTTTAAAAGTAGGTTCGGGATGCGATTCCCCCCCTCAAAGTACAAAATGTTACTTCAGGATTGGGTTGCATCGACACCTGAACTAATGATAGGGAGTAAAGTAGTTGAGCGTGTTGACCGCTTCAATTATCTTGGGAGTCTCATCAGCCCTTGTGGTCTGGTGCGTGACAAAATCTCAGCACGGATACAGAAAGCTCGACTAGCTTTCGTCAACTTGCGTTATTTATGGCGTAGGCGAGATATCCGTCTAGCAACCAAAAGACGGGTTTACTATGCAGCAGTTCGTTCCGTCCTACTTTATGGTAGTGAAACATGGCCGGTAAGAGTAGAGGATATTCGTAGGCTACTAGTATTCAATCATAGGTGTCTTCGAAGCATTGCTCGTATATACTGGGACCACCGAGTAAGTAATGCAGTCGTTCGTAAACGGGTACTAGGTAAGGATGGCAAATCGATTGATGAAGTAATGAAACCTCATCAGTTGAGATGGCTGGGACACGTGTCATGTAAACCCAACCGAAGACTGCCCAGACGTGCAATGTTTTATGGTGTAGGAGTTGGTTGGAAAAAAGCTAGGGGCGACCAGACCAAAACGTGGCACAAATTCATGAAGTCACTGACAATTGGACTGAGCTATGTTGGTAGGTGTAGACTACCTGGTTGAGATTCGCGAGATGATAACAACCGATGGTTAGAGACCTTGAATGACATGACTCAAAATCGTTTGCAATGGCGAAGGTGCATCCACTCTTTGTGTTCTCTTTCCAAATTTATTTCATTGGATTATGCTCCTTCAGTAACATCTTCAAACCCTAATCTTTCACATAATGCCTATACTCTTACTACTTCTACCACTATGGGATTTGAATCGACAACTACATCTCTATGCTAATGTGGTATGGCAACTCAAACTGATGTATGTACGTACGTACGAAGTTCTACGTTGTGACTGACTGAGAAGTAGGTTGAAAGGAGGCTAGAAGTGTTCAATTCAAAACATGGTATCGGTTCATGAAGTTGTCAACTGTTGGTCTGTGTCATATTCGTAGATGTAAACTATCTGGTTGGGATCGAAGTGATAATCACAATCAGGCGTTGGAAACGTGTGACTTGGCTCAGAATTGGTCACACTGACGCACATGAATTTTCCCCCTATTTTCCTTTGGTTTTTGAGCACCTGTATTTATTCATGAATACCTTTCCACCCTGTCTTTTCAATCCATATTCCCAAGGTTTAGTCTTTCTTTTTACTATCGCTACTACATTAGTTTTTTCTCTTTTACTATTTTTTGTCTCATCATCCTAATATAAGGTTTGGCAACTTGGGCCAGGCTCTATGTTAGTAATATCTGCCTCTCTGTCTGTTCGTCCTCAGTCAACATGACACTTATGATCAAGATGACGCCTATGAACGCTTTCGTAATGCTTGATTTATTGTTCACGGCTAAACCTTGTTCACAACCCCAATATATGACGTCACTTCATACATTCATAGATTACTTATCAGACTTCCTGAGTGTGAGGCCTACCTAACAATATTTTTAATCTCTTTTTCTTTCTTGAAACTTTGGCTGATAAAGCGCGAAATTCGTTATCATAACACAATTGCACTCATTCTACCTAGCTTTCTACAAACCTTTAGTTAACTTTTCATCACATGGACTGTCTAATTCTCATGTTTAAATTCCCATTGTAATTAGGATTAATCTCTCCTACTTTTCTTCTCATCTTGTTAATCCCCTATCTCAGTTCGTATTAGTATAAGATATGAAATATTCTGTCAACTAGTCATATTCAACACAGAGTTTAAATTGTCCTATATACCATACTACATTAACACAGTAATATGAAAGTAACATACTGCCATAATTAATGAGTTTAAATAATTATAATATTAATGATAGTGAGAAAGACTAAACATTGATAATATTGTTCAAGAAGAAAGAATAAAAAAAGGATTTGCTCTACTGTGACCTATTCTAAGGTTTATCGACCATTGATCACAGTTATTGCGGGAATGCTGATCAGATAGTCTACACTTACCGACATAGCTTAGACTAATAGATACCTCTTATCGATATAGGTGTCAAGGAATATGTAACACTATGCCCTAATCTCCTTAGTTGGTAATGATTCACAACTTCGACGTCCGATTTTTGCTTAATATATTTTCCTTAGGCTCAACAGTATATTCGTACCAGTATTTAACATTGATTATGACTGGTTACTATTTTTTTCCTAAATATAAACCTGTATATTTACCACTATCCATAATAATCATATGTCATAGTTGTCCTGTTAAAAAATGATTTTCCCTACTTTCTTTACATTTCTATTTTGTAGGTCCACATAATTGGCCACCATTCCCCCCATTCTGTCCATGCAAACCATGTGTTCGACAAGATTTTGAAAATGATATTCCATTCGATTGTCGATGGATGGCTAAAATGGGTTATGGTATTTGGTTGGGCTATGCTATCTTGTTAGTATTCAATATGTTTGGAGCACTAGGCTACTTTATTGTTGGTACTGGGGCAGCTGAAGGACCATTGTTTGGTGCATCAATTTTACTAGTGCTTGTTATGCCACCTGCCAGCTTTTTCGGATGGCATCGACCTTTGTATAAAGCATTAAGGTAAATGTTAGTCCTTTTTTCAAAGAATTTCCCAATATCAGTGTAGAGGGGATTTTTAGGGATTGTAGAACTTTTTGTAGTTCAAACTACGAACTGTTCTTAGTTAGACAGCCAATAAAAACCTGGAAGCACTGGACGGCTGTTTCGTCTTAGTATGGAAATCCTCACTGGCAGTACGGATCCTACAATCTTCACAAATTTCTATATACTAACAATAATCATTTGCGTACTAGTGACTAGCTTCTAGATGCAACCACTGGAGTTATGGTGAAGAGCCGTGACCGGTGAAGTTTAACCGTGTTGAATGTGAAAACAGTTATTCACTGCAAGCAATAGATGAGGGTCGCGCAATGCTATGAATTGATTGGAATCAGACATTAACACTGTTGGATACGGTCTCAGTTGTCTGGAGGTTATGCGTTCGCTTATGAGACTCAAGTCCCCGGGTTCGGTTACGGAATACGAGGGCAAGGATGTGTACTGCCACTGAGGAGTCTCATACTAGGACGAAATAGTCGTCCAGTACTTCCAGATTTTAAATGTTGGTCTATTTAAGACCATTTGGTGATTTAAACTGTAAAAATTCCTTAATAGTTTATGTTAGACATAGAAGCGAATATATATTTGAAAATATGTTCAGCATTTCATATTTATTGTCGAATAAACTACTTTTTCAATGTTTACAAACAATGATCTTATTCATAGTCGTAAATTGACTATAGTTGGGAAATGGATCTGCCGGAATTTCAACTCAGTACGAAACCTGGCGGTTTCAAGTTCGATCTTCTATAAGGCTATAGGTGTACTACGCTGATTAATTTCAAACTATGATAGAATTCAAAAGTCGTACATAAATCGTTTCAAATTATATCTTATACTGTTAGCTACATATTTTCAAGTCTTTTTAACACAAGTTCTTAGAATAGTTGGTGTGTTATTGGCAGTTTAATCAAAGACTTGCGGTTAATTCCATTTGGGACTTGTCAGTAGATGTAACTTTATCTCAGTTTTGATGCTCACATTGACACCAAACTGAGACAGTCCATTCATAGTACAAATACAGAAATAGAGACTGGTCAGTTACAGTTATGAGCATCATAAACAAGTCATTTCAAGCAAGGATATTATGGCGTTTGGACGGTAATTAATGTTCATGCAGGCGAAGACGAAGGGGGCATGGTCACTTCAACCAATCCTGTGCAAAGCAAAGGAGAAAACAAAAAAACTGAACATCATGTACAAAATGAGTCGTTACAATTATGAAAAACGAAATGGATGTCTCCTTCATCTTCGCCTGCGTGAACATCAATTGGTGTTCAAACACAACAATATACTTTCGCTTATATCAATGCATTTGAACAAGTTTGGAGACATCCGACTAGGAAAATGTTAAAATCTTAGACAGAGGGGATACACAGACTAGAGAGCTTGAAATTTGGATCAACCAGCATTTAGTAAACACATCGAAATTGAACTTATCAAATAATCAGAAAAATTATGAATAAATATAGGACTAAGAATCACATCAAAAGGAGGTATAATCAAAACAAAGAGGTAGATAATGACAATAAAAAGGTCAACTATAACCAATCAAGATCAAAATCGACAGAATAAACTGTTTTTCATATGTAGAGAAATTCGAATACTCCAAATGTCCTGGTACGGCCGAGAGTGGGAAGAGTCCGCTCTCCCCCTCAAAATGTTCTCACATGGTCACGCGTATATAGCCGCTGTCAAGGAAGTCCTACTCACTGCCTTCTCATCGCCTTACGAAATTAAGAGGACGAAAAGCGAATGTCCGGTGCATTAACCAGGTTGGTTGACACGGAGGGTCCACCTACGGTAGTTGGAAAACCCTGATTCCAAACCAATGGTACACATGGGCTCCAATATCCTGAAGGAACAAATGGCGTATGAATCAATCGTTGGTGACCGGCTACCATGAGACTGCATCTCCTCACGATGCTCTACTGCCTTGTAGATCAGACCTTTAGGTCAAAGGCTCGGGGTGTGGCCTCCTGAGAAAACCACCTGCTTCAGTTTGGCCACCCAGACAGTATCACAGCTCTCACACAAATCAAATGAGATTTGTGTGGCGCATATTTATCTGGTGCCCCTCTGTACCAATATTTATGTGTTTAAATATAATGAATAAAAAAATATTCATCATCTGTTGCAGACTCAAACAGTGTAACTTAAAGTCAACTACATTAAACGATACTTAATAAATGAGTTATATTAATATAAATATTAATGTTTGGGATTAAATCTGTTATGTCCTATGTCTTTGTGCGATATCACATGACTGAATCACCAATTTGGACGCGACTTATATGACTTTGACACTTTGCTTAACCAATGACGAGTTAACCAATACTAGTAACATCGAGTCAACTTTGAGTGCTTATTGGTCCTCTATACAATAGCTTCTCGCCTCACCCTGGTTGTTCAGTCTAGAACACAAATATCAGCCTCTACTATATGAATCGTATATTTCAGACATAAGTGGCTTATATATGAGCACATCAAATCACATCACACCATAAAAGACAAAATAATAATTATACAAGATAAAGCCATCTGATGCAGATGTGAGGGCGAGAATCGGCAAAGCAAGAGCAGCATATTTACAACTGAAGAACATCTGTAACTCAAAACCACTTTAATCAACATCAAGGTCAGAGTTTTCAATTCAAATATCAAGACAGTTCTGCTGTATGGGCGGAAACCTGGAGAACTACGAAAGCCATCATCCAGAAGATACAGGTGTTTATTTACAGTTATATACACAAGATACTTCGGATCCGTTGGCCAGACACTATCTGCAACAACCTACTGTGGTAGACAACAAACCAGATTCTATCCAGTGGAGGAAGAAATCAGGAAGAAGTGCTGGAAGTGGATAAAACACACATCAGGAAAGCAGCCAACTGCGTCACAAGGCAAGCTCTCACATGAACTTCTCAAGGCCAAAGGAGAAGAGGAAGACCAAAGAACACAAAAATTGTATAGAATTAGAAAGGAAGGCCCAGGACGGAGTTGGTTGGAGAATGCTGGTCAGCGGCCTATGCTCCATTGGGAGTAACAGGCGTAAGTAAGTAAGTAAAACCAAAAGTGGTTGTTAGTAGGAGAAACTGTATCTCATAGATTGAGAATAAATTAAGAATGGTAAATCGTATTGCAATAACTAATAGGTCAAATGAAAGCTTATGATAAAAGGAATATGAATATGTATATAATCTAGTTCCTTAATACATATACAGTAAGAATGAGTATATAATCATAGTATATATAGAATTCTCGGAGGTTACCATCCATTTATTCATCGTTCGGACATAACAAAATCTATTCACATTTCAATTTATTACCAGGTAATATATGGGGTAATGAAGTGAACAAATTCGAATCCTACTTAGGGTTTTTTAGTTCAAAGTAACAATCATACATTTCAAGACTTGATAAATTAGTATCTTTGACCTAAGTAAAATAACTTTATATTTCCTTAACACTTAGTTCTTTTAATATACTTAGATTTCGAGCTAATAAGTTCGTCAATTTTTGATGACCCTGTATCATATGATGATTGTTGTTGATATGTATATGCCACTAACCCTTGTATATTCTTATCGATTCAATTTGCGTTAGAGAATAACGGGATGAAATAAGCCAGATAGATAAACAAAACGAAATGGCGCTCAACGAAGAACCAACTTGTTTTGATGAAGCATAACTCAATATTTATATTCAAACAAAAATAAGTTACAGACACTTAATGAATAGGGTGAGCAATGAACTCATATACGATCAAATAAAAAAACGGTCAGGATTAATAAACTATCAATCGACAAGGTCAAAGCGTGACTTGAGAAGAATGAATAAATCAATTTATTCAGAAGCTAAAGTGACCTATGTGGGCTTGACATAGTGTCAGCCACTACAAGTTCAAACTTATTTGACCCTAAATTCACTTGGTGTTGTTTACTTGTATCTTCCCATTGCTATTGAGAACTGCAATTGATCAGTCTCTTGTTAGCATTTGTGCATCCTATACGGACTGCCTCGATATTGCCTGAAGTCACAAACTTTGTAAGCAAAGATGGATAGGGTCTGGGTTCGAGTCCTAGAGTGAACATCAACTCTGAGATGCAGGTATATCCAGCTGACGAATCCCAAATAGGACGAAGTGGCGCGCGTCAAACTGGATTCCACTGCTAGCCACTATCCATCTTTGCTATTCGACCTTACTTCTATCTAAACAGCTGATTAAGTATCATCATTAATTATCATATCTAAAGTTATAACTCATAGCTGAGTATATAAATTTGTAGTTAGTGTAATACTTCATCATAAGTTGAACAAGTTCTCTTTTCACTTTCATTATAAACCTAATCACCTTTTTGATATATCCTTCTCTTTTCTTTTCATTTTGTTTTACTTTATTAGATCAGATAGTTCAGCGAATTATTTAATATTTTTCCTTTTCTTTTCTGGACAAACTATTATTATTTTAATACAATGCCTTGGAATTGATTATCTTGGATCATGGTAAGTTTGAATATACATATATATATATATTTTTACAAAATATTAGTGTCAATACGCCCCCGAATGCCCTGGTATGGCCGAGAGTGGGTAGAGTCCGCTCTCCCTCTCGAAATACTTTCACATGGCCATGCGTATATAGCCTCTGTCAGGGAAGTTCTACTCACTGCCTTCGCGTGGCAGGGGTGTTGTTTACAAAGTTGAGAAGACGAAAAGCGAATGACCGGCGCTTTAACCGGATCGGTGGACAAGGGAAGTCCAGCTAGAGGAGTTGGAAAACCCTGATTCCAAACCAATGGTGTACATGGGCTGGCTCCAGTATCCTGAGGGAACAAATGGAGTATGAATGAATCGTTGATCATCGGCTACCATTGGACTGCATCTCTTTACGATGCTCCACTGCCTTGTGGATCAGATCTTTAGGTCGAAGGCCCCGGGTGTGGCTCCCTAAGAAAACCACCTGCTTCAGTTTGGTCACCTGGGCAGTATCACAGCCCTCACCCAAATCTCATTTGATTTGTGAGGCGCATATGTATCTGGTACCCGTTTGAACCAATATTTATGTGTTTAAATAATAATAATAACAATACGCACCTATTCTGTGTAAAGTAGTCGCATAGACTAACTCTAAATACCCCCTTCCCTTCTTAAACATGAAGAGTACTTTGCTCAGAATCACGGTTAGATTAATTTATGCACTTTGTACTTATTCAATACTTTATTGATTCAACTGATATAATTCTTATTGTTAGACAGAGCAATTTATTTACTTCTACTTCTTTCTCCTCATAGTTCCCCTCCTCCTCCTCTCCCCCTATTTTTCTTCTTTCTCTCCTCCCCTTGCTTCCGTTGCCCAATTAGTTGAATCTGTTCGATAAGATTAAGCCTATCATTTATAAAATAGATCACCAGTGATTGACTGTAAGGAATGTTTCCTTGATTTCTAGTGGGAAGCAGTGACCAGTAGAGTTCAACCAAGTCTGTTGTAGAGATATCATTTCACTGAGGACAATTGGCGAACGGTTGCTTAACTTCGTGGATCAGTTGAAGTTTGACATTAACACCGTTGGATGACGGCCAGCTCAGTGGTCTATCTGTTAAGTGCTCAGGCGCGAAGCTGGTAGGTCCTGGGTTCGAATCTCGCGAGTGCAGGATCGTGGATGCACACTACTGAGGAGTCCCATAATAGGACGGTGCTTCGAGGTTTTCCATGGTGATCTAGCTTCAATTGACTGATGATTTCAACTATGAAAATTTATAAAATACATTCTAAATTTATTGTTTCACCTTTATTGATCACAAAAGTTTAACATTCCTTTTTATTAGTGAATTGTCATTGTTGCTTTCTGTTACTACTGTTGGGACCTTTTTATACAAGTTTTTGTGTTAAATTTATATGAGTTATGTAGATCGATATCGAGTGAAATAAATAAACAAACAAACAGATTAGTGTGATCAATTAAAATTCTCATTTTTACTTATTCAATAAACAGTTCTAGTTATTGTTGTTACTAAGTGACAATGTGTCTATTTTTTACTCTTTTTCTTATCTCTTTCTCTCTCATGGTATTAGAAACTATTTTTATAAGTTCAAGTAGGCTAGACTAAATTGGTAGTACCATAACAACGTTGGCATCACATAACTTTGAAGTTGTTATCGGTTGTGTTCAACTTATTCCCATAAACAAGGTCGTAAATATATCACACCTCTATACCTAACTGCCATATTTTGAATAAATCGTACACATCTTAGTCAATATACGAAACATTTGTTCATTGGAACTCCTTTAGTTAGTTAATACGATTAGAAATTCTGTACACCTATCATATGCTTATGACTTTTATGGGATTACTACGGTAGTGAACGAAGACATATATGGGGAAGACCAGTTTATTGTTTCATTCAAAATCATATTGTTTTTGGTAAAATATGAAAACCACATATTCAATACATCGTATACACATCTTCCATCAGTTGTCTCTAACGAATTTCATCGTTCCTTCATTCTTATTTACATTCCCGTTCTCTTCAATTTGATTTTCTCAATTTTCTGCTGCCTTGCATTCCATTTCTGGTTACTGTTACATACTATTTATATCTGCCAACATAAGGAGCATACACCACACCACCAATTGTTAATCTGTATGTAAAGTAAGGTTTTTATATTACACTTTGATTATCATGGTAAGCGGAAAAAATCTTATAGCATTAACTATTATTGATTAAAGTGAAGGCTATCAATTTAACATCGTAGTATTGTACAATCATGTCAGGTAGTTTGAATTTTTGGTTAGCTCCGATAATCTTTTCTCTATTTCTCTCAACTGATGCGTTCATCATGATAAACAGTTTATAACATTCATCAGTAGCTTATAAATTATTTTATTATTTGTTTATTTTATTTAAACACATAAATATTGGTACAAAGGGGCTCCAGATACATATGCGCCAATAAGAGACTGACCAGTTGCAGTCCTAAAAACATCAATGGGAAGATTCAAATAAACAATACTACGTTATCTAACTAGTTTATTGATAGACTATATTGTCACCGGGTTAAGGTTTTATTTTAGGACTAAGAATTTAGGATTAGGATTTATTGATAGTGTCGATTCTCTTCATAGATAGAATTAAGCATTTGATACGTTTAACACCATGATTTTACCTTATATTGTTGAAAGTGACTTTTTTCAGAGCAATATACAAAGTTATTTCCATAGCACGTAATACATGATATTTGAATTTCGTCCCAAAACCTAAAAGTCTCAATTCTCATCCCTAAATTATGCTTGTACCACTTTCAAACAACTTAAAATTTGGATAAGAAATTATCAATGTATTGGCAACAGTAATTTATATAAATTCACTTAGTGTTGTTTGTTTGAATCTTCCCATTGATGTTTTTAGGATTGCAACTGGTCAGTTTCTAATTGGTATATGTGCATACTATGCATATTGCCTCGATATAGCCTTAATTCACAAGCATTGTACATCCAGCTGACGAGTCCTAAATAGGACGAAACGCGCATCAAACTGGATTCCACTGCTAGCCACTATTCATCTTAGTAATCTATTTAGTTCGAAAAAGGATGGTTGTGCAATGATGACAGGTCGATATGATAAGGCAATTAGCAATGAAATGGATATTAGGGTTTGTAGATGAACGATGCGCAGATATTGCAGATAATTATGGATACGTTAAAAATTATTACGTAATCAAAAAACGGCTTTGGGATAGGTGCAGTAAATAGATTTGAGGTAAACGGTTAATAAAACAGGGCGGAAGGTGATGGCTTTCGAGTATTATCGGTTTATGTCTATTTTGAGTAAATTAATTGGCTGTTGAATGTTTTTCACGCTTTTGTTTGTCTGTCTACGGAAATGAAAAGATTGCTTTTTGCAGGTTTTCGTTCAACATGATGATGACTTGGAATATCAAATAATTTTATACTGGATGGACTCAACAAATTTTTTTAACCTTCTGTATATTGCACTACTACGATAATAAGACTGGACTGAATGGCCATTTTTTGTAATACTTCTAGATTGAATGTGCAAGCGATCCGTTATACACATACAAGAACACACTATATCAGATATTTGATTCACGACCAAAATAGAAAACCAGACTAGCGTTAGACAATACTTTATTCCACACAAATACAATCAGTCAGTCTCAGTGAGTCTGGAGCAGTAAATCACCTACTGAATGATCAGTAAGCTGCAGGACTGTTTGTCCACACCCAGTGACCAGTCATATTTACTTTCACTAATACACATCAAATAACCAAGGTTATATTATTGTTTGTTTTAGTACATATCTATTTCTGCTTCTTCTCATCCATCAAAAATAGTGTCTTTGAACCCACCTGTGCATTAGGACACATATCAAAACAGCTCATATGTATATATAGCTCCATAGGAATAAGTCAATTCATAATAAACCTACATTCAAGTAGTCGGATACAAGAACTTATCTTTTAGGTTTAATATATTTCCAGTATGTATTAGTGTCTCAGACGTTAAGGTATTCAATATTCAAATTCGAACATTACTTTGGCTATTAAGAGTAGAAGATACTCGTAGGTTACTAGTATTTGACCACAGATGTCTTAGAAATATTTCTCGCATCTGCTGGGATAACCGGGTAAGTAACAGTGAGGTGAAACACAGGGTATTAGGGAATGATGGTAAATCAGTTGATGAGGTCATAAATCTTCATCGACTGAGATGGTTGGGTCACGTGTTACGTATGCTTGAACACCGATTACCACGACGCGCTATGATGACTAGTGTAGGGGATGGTTGGAAGAGAGTTTGGGGCGGCCAAACCAAAACGTAGCATCAGTGCTTGAAGTCACTAACTTCTAGTCTGAGCCATGTTGGTAGATGTCAGTCAGTCAGTCAGTCAGCTACAACGTAGGACCAGGCACATTTATGCATCGGTCCAAGTTGCCATACCTCTTTAGCACATCAAGATGAACACCGGATTCATAGAAGCAATTAATTTAGTGGTGGTAGTATATAAAGAAAGATTGTATAGAAGGATATAGTATAGGAAGAAAAAAAGTTATGAAGCAATTTTAATCTCAAGGTTTAAGGGAAGATAAAGAGTGTATACACCTACGCCATTGTGATCGATTCTGAGCCATGTCACCTAGAGTCTCCAACCATTTATTACGATAGTCACGCGGACCCCAACCAGGTAGTCTGCATCTACCAACATGGCTCAAACTAAAAGTTAGTGACTTCAAGCCCTGATGCCATGTTTTGGTTTGGCCGCCCCTAACTCTCTTCCAACCGTCCCCAATACTAGTCATCATAGCGCGTCGTGGTAATCGGTGTTCAGGCATACGTAACACATGGCCCAACCATCTCAGTCGATGAAGATTTATCACCTCATCAACTGATTTACCATCGTTACCTAATACCCTGCGTCTAACCTCACTATTACTTACTCGGTGATCCCAGCAGATGCGAGCAATATTTCTAAGGCATCTGTGGTCAAATACTAGTAACCTACGAGTATCTTCTATTCTTAATGGCCATGTTTCGCAGCCGTAAAGTAGAACAGAACGAACTGCTGCGCAGTATACTCGTCCCTTAATTGATAGACGGATATCTCGTCTTCGCCATAGGTGACGTAAGTTGGCAAAAGCCAAACGAGCTTTTTGAATCCGTGCTGAGATTTCGTCAGACACCAACCCATTAGGACTGATCAGACTTCCAAGATAAGTGAAGTTGTCAACGCGTTCGACTACTTCACTCCCTATCCTTAGTTCGAGTGTTGACGCAGGCCAGTCCTGGAGTAACAATTTACATTTGGATGGGGAGAAACGCATCCCAAACATCTTGGCATTATTACTCAGTTCCAACAGAAGACTCTGCATTTTGTCAGCGTCTTCACCAAACAGGACTATGTCATCTGCGTATTCTAAGTCGCTTAGTGGTCCCCCTGGTAGGAGATCAATTCCTGTAAACTCAGTCGACGAGAGTGTCATTTGCAGCAACAGGTCTATAATGAAGTTAAACAAAAAGGGGGATAGTGGACAGCCTTGACGGACACCACTTGAGGTTGTAAAATCAGATGACAGTTCGCCATAAGCTCTCACTCGACTGATAGTGTTCGAGTAAAGAGCCTTCACAAGGTTTATGTACTTCTCAGGTACACCTTTCAATGACAGACACTGCCACAGAACCTCTCGGTCTACAGAGTCAAATGCTGCTTTCAAGTCAAGAAAAACTATCATTGTCGGACGCCGATAAGCATGTCTGTGCTCTAAAACTTGACGAATGGTGAATATGTGGTCGATACAGCCACGACCAGGTCTGAAGCCAGCCTGATTTTCTCGTGTTTGCAGTTCACGAGTTTTAGTTAGGCGCCTGATAATTATTGAGGCTAGTATTTTAGATACTATGTTAGTCAGACTAATCCCTCTATGGTTATCGCAGGATGATTTTGACCCCTTTTTATATATTGGGACAATCAGTGATTGTGACCAGTCGGATGGGATTACATCCGTCTCCCAGATTTTAGCCAGAATATTAGTCAACCTAATCGCTAAAATTGGACCACCATATTTAAAGACCTCTGGAGCCAATCCATCAGGACCAGCTGCTCTTCCTCGTTTCAGATTACCTATAGCCTTTTGAACTTCAAGTAGGGTCGGGGGGCCTACTTCAATGTTCCATTCAGGTTTTCTAGGAATAGTGGGTAGTTGTGCAGTAGCTGAAGGCCAGCTAAACTGCTCCTTAAAGTGTTCCGCCCATCGTTCTAAACGTTTGGGTAGAGAGCAGATAAGGGTTCCATCTTTTTCCGAGATCGTCTCACTTACACTTGACTTCTTAATTCCAGTTTCTTTTATTAGTCTGAATAGTTGCCTGGTGTTGCCTACAGCCGCTGCCTTTTCCATCTCTTTTGCTTTCGTTGCCCACCACTGCTCACGATCGTTCCTTAGACTTTTAGTTAACCTAGATCTAATTTGTTTACGCTCTTCGTCATGTTCAGAGCCTGATGGTATGAGTTTACGCGAATCCATCAGTGAAATAGACTTAGAAGAAATCCACTGGTTTTTTGGAGCCCTATGGTTTAAATGACTAATAGATGTTACTGCTGTTTCCACAGCTGTTCGTATGCCTTTCCAAGCAGCATCTGGGTCAGTCTCGTTTACAGAACTGCCTAGATGTGAACTCAGTTGTCTCTGGAATTCGCATTTGGCTTTCTCGTCCTCCAGTTCAATCCTAACGGGTCTTCTTAGTTTACTTTTCCTGCGTCCATTGAGGCGCAGACAAATGCGTGCTCGTATTAAAGCGTGATCAGAGTCTAAACAAGTATTCCAATACGAGCGACAATCTTCTATTGAGCCTCTCCAACGATAACTGATGACAATATGGTCTATTTGAGTCCATCGTTGGTTTGGTGCAGGTGGTCGCCATGTTAGACGATGTCTCTCCTTATGTTTAAAATTAGTGCTTGCCAAAAATAAACGATTGTCTGAGCATAGTTGCAACAGACGATCACCATTATCGGTTCGTTGAGCCGGAATACTAAAACACCCACCTAGATGTCTTTCTGTTTGATTTAAGCTGCCTACCTGGGCATTAAAGTCACCCGCTACGACTACTATGTCTGAGCGCTTAGCTTTCTGAAGAAGCTCAGAGAGCTTTCTGTAAAAGTCATCTTTCACCTCATCATGGCTGCAGTCAGTGGGAGCGTAGGCAGAAACGACGAAAAGGCAACGACGTGTGTCCCTATCCTTCCGAGTTCTTACGGAGCCATTTAGCCGGACAGCACACAGGCGACTGTTAACGGGGATCCATTCTAATAGTGCCTGTTCTGCCCTTGTACTTAGTGCTATACCTACACCTGCAAGTCCACGAGAACTAGCCAACGGGTCGCCAGATACACGGAGGGTGTATTTCGTTGGCTGTCCATTTTGGCGAGGTGAGGTCAAGTGAATGACCACACTGGGATCCTGTATGCGTGTTTCGGAGACACAGCATACATCAATGGTACGCGACTCTAAGGTTTTAGCTAAGGAGGCCTGTTGACCGATTTGACTTAAAGTACGTACGTTGAAGGCTCCAATGTGTAGTTTGGAGCGAGGTTTTAGTAGACCTGGGACAGCGTTTCGCGCACTAGAATCGTTGGCCATGGTGACACTTGAGGAGGAAACCGAGAGAGGAAGTTTAGTGTTGAAAGTCAAGGTAGTAGGAATTGAAGAAGGAGATTGATTATGAATACAGTTGTCTTGAGTGTTGTTAGAGGTATGAGGGCAGTTATCACTTCCCGGTTGCCCACACCGTGGAAGGATTCTTCTAGAGGTACCTGAAAAGGGAATTGGGTTAGAAGTGGTCTTAATGACCGGAGAGCGTGACCGCAGTGCCCAAGGGACAACTGCTTGAGGTCGGTCACACACGACCTTTTTGTGGGTAGTTTTTGTGTTAGCTCCGTTCTTCAAAAAAAACCTTACCGCCGGAGACGGATATCCGTGGGATAAGGCGAGGTGTGCATTTTTAGGGTCGACCTTTTCTAACCCCACCCCTCCTTGTGGGAAGGCAGCATCGCTGTCATGCTGGTTGTCTGAAGGAAACACCTTACTGCCGTCACACCTCTGTACAGTCAGCAGTACGACTTCGCCTTCGGACCTTGGGTTTGCTGCTTTTAGTCTCACCGCTCTTCAATCGACCTGTCTGGCATGGTAGGACCTCGAGGAACGATTGTTCCAGCCAGCATAGCTCGATTGGATCATCACGATAGGCAAGCCCGACCACCACGTCAAGGTAGCAGCAACGGTCGGGGTTGGTAGATGCAGACTACTTGGTTGGGGTCCATGTGACTATCGTGACCAATGGTTGGAGACTCTAGGTGATATGGCTCAGAATCGATCACACTCTCTGTCTTCCCTTAAATCTTCAGATTAAAATCCCTTCATATCTGTCTTTCTTCATGTACTATATCTTTATATACGACCTTTCTTTTATATACTACCACTAGAGAATCAACTACTTCTATGAATCCAGTGTTCATCTTGTTGTGCTAATGAGGTATGAAAACTTGGAACGATGCATATATGTGCCTGGTCCTACGTTGTAGCTGACTGACTTATTTTACTGACTATTTTTGGTTTATGCAACTAGAATAATAATGTCACTCTTAGCTTTCAAACACTACAAGTGTAACTCTTAAAATCAAGTATACAAATGTATACGTGGTAAATGAGTTAAATCAAACAAACATATAAACTAAATATTGATTATATAACTACAAAAATATTAGTTTAAAGGAGTTTATCTAAATAAGCATAATTTTTTATATAGTTGAATTCATGAGTCGATTGAATTGGATTGGAGTTCTAGTTAGAAGCAGTGACCAGTGGAGTTCAACCAGGTCTGTTGGGAGATATCAACTCACTGAAGACATTGGTTAATGTTTTTTCAATTTTGTGGATTGGTTGAAGTTAGACATTGACACCGTTGGATGCTGGCTTGCTCATTAGTCTATCGGTTAAGTGCTCTGGCGCGAGACTCGTAGGTCCTGGGTTGGGATCTCGCTAGGCAAGATCATGGATGCGCACTGCTGAGAAGTCCCATAATAGGATGAAACGGTCGTCCAGTTCTTTCAGGTTTTCCATGGTGGTCTAGCTTTAATTGACTCATAAATTCAACTATTAAATTACTATAATATCCACATAAACCCCTTCTGATAATATTTTTTTCCTATGATTTGATTATATAGTGGTTGGATTAATGGGATAAAAACTGTAAATCATAATGATGGTGTTGGTGTTTTAATGTTATTGATTGCTACAATATTCAGTATTCTTGCAGGATTTTGTAGTTTCTTGTTATTTAAGGTAAGTTTTAATAAATTTTTGTCTTATTTCATTTTTCTGTATGTTCAAAATGAAATCTTTTCAGTTTTGTATATTCATGTATATTTCATATCTAATTGGTGAATACATATACTAAGGTGTTTAGTTTATTAGTCAAAGTTCACCTTACTCGGTAAACAGAACGAAGGTCAAAGACACAGTGACACGATAGGCTATTCTAATCCGTTGTCCCCGGCTCTGCTAACTAGATCAAGGAGTCTTGATAAGGCGTAAAAAATGTATTCTGAAAGGAAATATAAGGTCACTAAGCACACAAACCAAGCTTGTCTATACAATGATAGAAACAACCTTGGGAGAGCCACAAAATAGCGTGCTAAGAAAACCCGTTAATCAATAACAGTCAAGGATTCCTGAATGGGAAGTGTAAGCTGTAGGTCAACTGAGCGTCTATTGGCGCGAAAACATAAAATTCAAATTTTCATAATAAAATGACAAAATTAGGACGTTCTCCAAGTGAGTTCTGGGGATGTAACGTCCTTAACATAGTTTTTTCTGAAGATAACACATTGAATAGAACAATTTTTTCCTAATCATTTAGGTATTTTAATGATAATTGTAAGATGAGTTCAATTGTCCTATGTGTAACTTCTTGTGCATTTTGATTTTCACATTCACTGTCGCAGCTACTTCTCGTGGAAAAACTCTATTCACAAGATCGTAGTCAAACATTTGAGGTTAAGAATAGGGTGAAAGAAGGTGACTAAAGAAGTTGATTTTTGAGGACTTCCGGGAATGTTTTGAATGATAGAGATGTAGATGAACACGTGTACTGTCAACTGTATGCAAGTATGACAACAGTAGGTTGCTTGTCTGCGACAACTAACTATTGTAGCTATACTGGCTTACAACGATGGGAGAAGATTCGAAAAGGTCAATTCTAAAAGTGTCACAACTTACCTTCTGGATTTCTGTTACTGATAGTAACATCGTTAAACTGAAGAGCTGACAACACATCAAGAGTTTTTTTTTACAGAAAGACCGTGTGATCTCTTAGGTTTTTCGGTCTCAAATCTTTCTGACTACTTCTAAATCAGTTTCTTTTTCAGATCACTCAATGTAAAATATCTCCCCACTGTTTATTACATCTCATTAATTCGTTCATCAGGTACTTAGATATAATTTATACTTCAAGTGTAAGAGTTAATGATACCTAGGCGGCCCGAATACCTCAGTGGTAACGTCTCTGACTGTGAAGCTGAGTGACGCGGGATCGAATCTGCCAGCGAGCATCAGTTCCCTCAGGATTACAGGTACACCTTGCTGACGAGTGCCAAGTAGCACGAAACCCGGGTCCAGGGTTTCCTGTTGACCACCTCCAATCACCATCTTGCCTCAGTATACATAGTGCAAGCAGTGTCGAGCCACCCAGACTGGTGGCCACATTGCAACGATATATTGCATCGATAGCATTCGATCAGCACTAAGAAGGACCTGTCATGCATGAGATTGATCACCACCCAGTAATCAATCAATTGTGAGTTAATGATACCACCCGAGTGTCTAAACTGAAGTTGATGGGGTGGAATTCTGTTCAGGGATTTAAAGGCTGGGAGTCGAACTCCTTGAGCAATAAGCCACTGCGTCACTAGATTAGTTATCAAAAATTAACAAAAAACAACAGCCTTTATTATCTCTAACAATACTTTAAGATCCGACCTAGACATTTTCACATACACAATAGTTTCAACATACATTTATATATGAAGAATCAAACCTACTTATATTCTCCATACTATTATGTGTTGTTTGTTTTTCGTAGGTTCATAAATATTATCGATCATCTGGAGCAAGTTTACATAAAGCTAAACTAGAAATGGCTAATGCAGGAGTATTTGAACGTTCTGGAGGATTTGGTGCAATGCCATAATTGAAGAAAGAAAAAACAAACAAACGAGCAATTCATATATAATAATCAGTTTACTTATAACACAATTTAATCAATATTGATACAGTTTGTTTGTTTGTTTGTTTTTCTTCGACAGGAAACTGGACATTATTCTATCCCTTACATATCAATTTCATAAAACCACCAGTGATATCTTATTTTTATTTTTGCTCTTCTATACACACAATGTTTGTTGTTTTCTCCCCCTTCCCCCCCCACACACACTTTTTTATTGATTGTTAAATTTTACATGTAAAGAATAAATAAACAAAGCATACTAATGACTGAGAGATTCTTTTTAAAAAAAAAATTATTATTCATTTATTTCCAATGATCAATGTTCACATATCCAACATCAACAACAACACACACCCACACACATGCACATTTGAATGACAACACGATGAGTACTTTTCTGTTTTATATTGAAAAAAGAGTCGATCATCTTTTCTTTTGTTTTACCATGGGGGTGTATGGTTAGTTTTTTTCTACATACTTATAGTTGTTGTTGCAGTTGTTGTCTTGTTTATTATCATCACTGACTTTGTTTATCTTCACCGTTATTACTACTACTGTTCTATACATACCCCATTTCTCTGTTTTAATCTATTTGTTATATGCGAATGTTTTTAGTTAGTGTGTTTGTTGACTAAACTAAATGGATTGTATGGTATTTGTATACGAGAAAAAGAAAAACTTGTTTCATCATGTGTTTTTCTTGTTTCTCTTTTCAATCTTTTTTTCTTTTTAATCATTATCGTCATGTATTGTAACTTGATAGAATTAAAAGTAAATGAAAATAATTCATAAAAGTTGTTTTATAGACTTCAATACGTTATATTATAACTTTGTTTGATTGTGTTATGTCTTGATCAAACAGCCCCCCCCCCAAAATACCTTGGTACGGCCAAGAGTGGGGAGAGAGTCCTTCTCGAAATGCTTTCACATGGCCACGCGTATATAGTCTCTGTCAGGGTAGTCCTACTCATTGCCTTCTCGTGGCGGGGGTGTTGTTTATGAAATTAAGAGGACGATAAGCGAATGTCTGGCACTGTAACCGGGTTGGTGGACACGGAAAGTCCACCTAGGAGAGTTGGAAAACCCTGATTCCAAACCAATGGCGCACATGGGCTCCAGGATCTTGAGGAAACAAATGGTGTATGAATCAATCGTTGATCAGTGGCTACCATGGGACTGCATCTCATGATGCTCTACTGTTTTGTAGATCAGATCTTTAGGTCAAAGGCTCGGGGTGTGGCTCCCTAAGAAAACCACCTGTTTCGATTTGGGCAACTGGGCAATATCACAGCCCTCACACAAATCAAGTGAGATCTGTGTGGTGCATATTTATCTGGTGCCCCTTTTGTACCAATATTTATATGTTCAAATAAATAAACAAAATAATATGCCTTTTAGGCTTTCCGGTAGCAGTCGGTCTACAGTAAATTGTATTTATAAACAATTGAGAATCTTTTAATACGATTAAACAAATGAGAACTTGAATATATCGAACTTCTGATACACAACAACAATAACACTTTAAAGTTAATAATCTACACTCTGATATGAGTTAGAAAGTACATGACCCTCAGGATAGCTTTATGTTCCAAACAGAAGTTGATAATTGAAAAGGAACAACACTGATTTTATAGTAGCATGCAATAACGTTGAAGCGCATGAATTTGGTAAACTTTAAAAAATGACGACCAATTAGATGACAGAAAAAAAAATCATTACAAATACTAATTAGGGGAACGATATCGAGTTTATCTTATAAAGAAAGAATAAATATGTAATAAGGAAACTAAACAAACTCAACTCTTATTAGTACTATCTAAACAAGAATACGACATTAGTTTATGAAATCATTGTCTGAGACGTATTGACAGATGTAAATTATGTGATAGTATTTAAGATGCACATGATAACTGAAGTCAATGTTTGAAAATTTCTTGTGATACAACTCTAAATTAATCATGATGATTCAGATAAATTCACTCTTCATTTTATTCTAAATCTTGGGTTCCAGTATTTCTCAATATCATCGTTACTACAATTGTTATAACTCGTTTTCTATCCATTGGTGTATACACTATTTATCTTCCCTTAAACTATGAGATTAAAATTGCTTCATAAAGTTCTATCTTCCTATACTATATCCTTATATACAATCTTTCTTTTACATATTAACACCATTAAATTAATTCTATGAATCCGGTGTTCATCTTGTTGTGCTTACGAGGTATGACAACTTGAACCGATGAATAAATGTGCCTAGTCCTATGTTGTAGCTGACTGATCCATATTATTATTATCAGCTCCAGCTACGTAGAAGAGTTGTTATTTTGTTCCTTTAGATGTGTTGTATAGAAATCCATAGTAAACAGAGAAAGTTTCATCAATCTTAATATGATGTTCACTATCAATTAGTTGAGAAAAGATAATGCTGCCCATAAATGTCGTAACATCATTTCCAAACCATCTTAGTACATGTTCATGAGCATGCAGAAAATCATCTGTTAGGATTATGCAGACCATGAAGGAATGGGAATCATCAACAAAAGTGTGTTTCATTTAAAATACTTTGATTCAGTTAATTATAACTACCATATCAGTTATATTACTTAATTACGCCTGTTACTCCCGATCGAGTATAGGTCGCCGACCAGCATTCTCCAACATACTCTGTTCTTAGCCTTCCTTTCTAGTTCTATCCAATTTTTGTTCATTCTCCTTATGTCTATCTACATTTTTCGGCATAATTTGTTCTTTCTCTTTACCTTTGGCCTTCAGGATTCCATATGGAGGCTTGTCTTGTGACACAATTGGGTGATTTCCTCAATGTGTGGCCTATCCGCTTCCAACGCTCCTTCCTGATTTCTTCCTCCGCTGGATGGAATCTGGTTTGTTGTCTCCCACAGTAGGTTGTTGCTGATAGTAACTGGCGAACGGATCCGAAACATTTTTCGTAGACAACTGTAATTAAACACTTGTATCAACTGGATGATGGCTTTCATAGTTCCCCGAGTTTCTTCGTCATATAGAAGAACTGTTTTGACGTTTGTATTGAAAATTCTGACCTTGGTGTTGATTGAAAGTTGTTTTGAGTTCTAGATGTTCTTCAGTTGTAGATATGCTGCTCTTGCTTTGTCGATTCGCGCCTTCACGTCTGTATCAGATTCACCGTGTTCATCAATGATGTTGCCCAGATATGTAAAGGTTTTCACATCATCCAAAGCTTCTCTGTCAAGTGTAATTCGATTGGTGCATGTTTTGTTGTATCAGAGAGTCTTGCTCTTCCCTCTGTTTATATCGAGACCTACTGCTGCTGAGGCCGCTGCTACACTGGTCGTTTTCTCCTGTATTTGTTGTTGCGTGTGTGATAGAAGAGCCAGATCATCTGCAAAGTCTAAATCGTCCAGCTGCATCCTAGCTGCCCACTGTATTCCGTGCTTCTCTCCAGATGTTGACGTATTCATTATCCAGTCGATCACCAGGAGAAAGAGAAAGGGTGAGAGTAAGCATTTTTGCCATATCAGTTATATACTTAGGAACAAATATTCTTCATTATTATATTTAGCCTTAAGCTACACTGGATATGGTAAAAAGCGGATAACTTAACTGACAAAACGATATAGCGTTACACTTATTGTTTTGTATCATGATCGTCATTATATGGGCTTATCAACAACCTACAAGTGTGTTCTTTGACCTTCATATCTTCCGTTTCCCTTCAGGATTCCATGTTAGTGCTTGCTTCGTGATGCAGTTTAATGATTTCCGGAATCCATGTCTTATCCATTTGCAGCGTCTTTCCGTAATCTCCTCTTCAGCTGGAAGCTGGTTTGTTCTCTCCCATAGTAGGTTATTGCTGATGGTGTTGGGCCAACGGACATTGAGTATCTTGCATAAACAATTATTTATAAGTACTTGTACCTTTTTTAATGATGGTTGTGGTAATTCTTCAAGTTTCAGCTCCGTACAATAGAACTCTTGACGTTCGTGTTGGAGATTCTTACTATGATATTGATTGATAGTTGTCTTGAGTTCTATATGTTCTTCAACTACAGAAATGCTGCCCTTTCTTTGCCAATCCTTGCCTTTACATCTGCAAGTTACATAAGTAATATTATTGTAAAAACGTTTTAATTACACACCATAATCAATGAAGTTTAGTTAGAAACCAGAAGAGAGAACAACATAGCTAACATAATAACTAAGATTGATTAGTGTATATATGTTAAAAATGAAATCATGAAAAAGAGACAACGGGGGGGGATGAAACTGTGAATGATAAGAAAGGGAAAATGAATTAGCAATAATCAAGGCACCTAATTGACATTAAACTCATGTTAACGTCGTAAATGTATGTCAGTAAAATTTAGTTAATAAAAACTATAAATAGATAGTTTAATCAGAAGGGGATTTTTGTGGAGATTTTAAGTAATTTTATACGGTTGAAATCATGAGTCAATTGAAGCTAGACCATCATCGAAAACCTGAAAGCACTGGACGTCCGTTTCGTCCTATTGTGGGACTCCTCAGTGGTAGTGCGCATTCACGATCCCGTAGTAACGAGAAGGTTATCACGCAATCATTCTGTATACAAAAGTTAGTTCGAAAGCGATTGATGGCAATGGCCTTTACAAATCAGAGTAAAAGTGGTGTTCTCTGCTTACATAACGTTTATGTTGTCAACGTGGTACCTTGATTATCTCTCATCTATTAAAAATATGTTTTTATTCATGATATCTTTATATTACCATTTACAACTTCAAACCATTCCTTACATAACTTCATTTTCAACTTAAGAAATACTTATCAGTCTTAGCTATTATGTTGTTTCATCTTTTGATTTCGAATCAAACTTTATTGATTGTGGTATGTTATAAAACTATTTTCATAATAATATTACTAACATAAATTGAAGTAGTTTACAGTTGATGAAAAGCCTCGAAATATACTGAATTTATGTTATTATA